TTTTCTTCTACTCAATAGTTCATCTGAGAATCAATTTCTCATTTACCCTCTACCATTTTTGGCGTTAAATTATCAAAATATTTATCTCATTTAAGAGAATACACGTCCATTAATTAACGGTTAAAACCGTTAGTGGACCTATTGACAAATATATCCAAGTTGGTCCATTTAATGCCTATTAAAAAAATGCCAAAAATTCCAACAATCCCCCACATGAATGAAAAATTGATTTGGGGGTCGACAACATCCCACGGTTCAAAACCTGCAAAGAACAGGTAAGTGTCTCCACTTTTTAACATGTCCCTTGTAAAGTATACCTTCTTTACTGGCCGTTTAGTAGAACGCGATGTCTTTGAACTGTACTGCCGTTTGTGTAAATGATAGTATACTATACACAAATTCCAACCAAATGTCGTTCTGTTCTCATGGTTGTGCCCATTTTGGTCGTGGGACACGCGCCTGGTTCTGTGAGAGTGTTTAGAGGATTAAGCCCAAGATCCTCCGTTTGAAGCGACCACACTTCACTCTTACATAGGTGATTCTTTAAGAGTATCCCGATTACTCCCCTTAGACCACCGTGTCTATTGGTTAAGAATCATTAAAGCATATTGATATGCTAACCTCATCAATTTCGGGAGTCACAGTCGTCAGCAGGAACAGAAGGGACTGACCGAAGGTTCCGGTACTGCCCCCACACTGACCACGCTTTATCCTACAAGTAGGTTGTCCCATTGAACCTGGGTACCAGCCAGGTTGGGTTTTCCTTCATAGGACTGTCCTAGCACAAGGGCTTCAAACCCATTCCTGCCACCAACTTCTCATGCAACTCATTTGTTAACCCTTTGGTTAGCGGATCCGCCAGATTATCCTTTGACTTCACATAGCCAATCGTGATAATTCCAGTTGTGAGAAGTTGTCTAATGGTTTTGGGTCTACGACGAATATGTGTAGACTTACCATTATACATATTACTATTTGCACGTTCTATTGCTGATTGACAATCACAATAGATACAAACTGGTGGGACCGGTTTATCCCATCTTGGAATATCCTCTAGGAAGTGGCGTAGCCATTCAACTTCCTCTCCACATTTGTCTAAAGCTATAAACTCAGACTCCATGGTGGACCTAGAAATCATTGTTTTCTTTGAGGATTTCCAAGATATTGCTGCAGTCGCTAGCGTAAAGACATATCCACTTGTGGACTTCAAGTCTTTACTATCAGATATCCAATTTGCATCCGAGTATCTTTCCAATACCGGTGAATATCTCGAGTAGCATAATCCATAGTCACGTGTATACCGCAGGTATCTCATCACACATACAATAGCCTTCCAGTGCTCATCACTCGGATTGCTGGTGTATTTACTTAGCTTACTTATGGCACAAGATAAATCAGGTCGAGTGCAACTCATTAGATATATCAAACTTCCAATAACTCTCGCATACTCGATTTGAGAGTTACTGGAACCTCGGTTTTTAGCCAGGTGAGCATTGACATCCAACGGCGTCTTTGCTACTCTAACGTCATCCTTATTGAACTTGTCAAGGATTTTATCAATATAATGGGATTGGCTCAGTGCTAGACCCCCAGGTCTTCTCACAATTTTAATTCCAAGAATTACTTCACCCAGACCCATATCTTTCATGTCAAATGACGAGTTTAACATGTCTTTGGTAGACTTGACCATCTTGTCATCTCTACCAACTATGAGTATGTCGTCTACATATAGACACAACATGACATACCCTTGGGATGTGTTTTTTAGATAAACACACTTGTCTGATTCATTAATTTTGAACCCAGAGTTCATCATTACCTGGTCAAACTTCTCATGCCATACTTTTGGCGCCTGTTTAAGACCATATAATGACTTAACGAGTTTACATACTTTCCTTTCTTGACCAGGAACTATAAACCCTTCTGCTTGTTCCATGTAGATCTCTTCTTCTAGATCTCCATTAAGGAAAGCTGTTTTCACATCCATTTGATGAACTTCTATGTTCCGCAAGGAAGCTATTGCAAGTATCATCCTAATGGAATTTATCCTTGACACAGGAGCATATGTATCAAAATAGTCAAAGAATTCACGTTCATTGTAACCCTTAATTACAAGTCTGGCTTTGTACTTATCAATGGAACCATCTGGTTTCATTTTCCTCCCAAAGATGCACTTAAAACCTAAAAGTTTGCACCCAGGAGGTAGATTCACTAACTCCCAAGTGTGATTCTGCATAATAAAATCAACTTCACTTTTAATTGCCTCTTTCCATTGAGGGCCTTCAGTCACTGCTTCATGATAAGTTCGTGGTTCATTTTCTAATAAACATGTTAGAATATCGGGTTCAGTGTCTATCAGAAATGATAGAGTCCTAGATTCAAATTCCAACAAATAAGTTAGAAAATCATTACCAAAGGACTTCTTAGTCCGTGTCCTTTTACTTCGTCTTAGTTCAGTCTCAGCTTCGATTTCATCAATTATACCGGTATTAGACTGATCCGAGGAATCATCGTTCAACATTTCATCATGTGAACGTTTGGATGAACTTGCTTCTTCCCTCGACTTTAATGGAAATATATTTTCAAAGAATGTTGCATTCCTCGATTCCATTATCGTGTTCTTATGTATTTCTGGATTATCAGACCTATACACTAAGAATCGATACGCGCTACCACTGTAGCCAATAAAGATTTCATCAACGGTCTTTGGACAAATCTTTATTTTCTTTGGTGGTGGTGCTAATACTTTTGCAAGGCACCCCCACACTTTCAGGTATTTATAGGAAGGTTTCCTATTATACCACAACTCGTAAGGAGTTTTATCGAGATTCTTTCGGGGTATTTTATTCAACAAATAATTGCTAGATAAAATGCCCCCCCTCCCCCCACATATTTTGGGGTAGCCTAGAACTGAGCAACATCGCATTCATCATATCTTTGAGAGTGCGATTTTTACGTTCCGCCACACCGTTTGATTAGGGTGTGTATGGCGGAGTTACTTGATGCACAATTCCATGTTGTGCACACAATTCGGCAAATGGAGCTTCATACTCCCCGCCCTTATCACTCCTAATCACTTTAATTTTACGATTGAGTTGATTTTCTACTTCATTTGTATACCGAACGAAAAGTTCCAACGCCTCATCTTTACTTTTAAGTAAATAAATATAGTAGTACTTTCTGTTATCATCGACAAAAGTGATAACATATTTGTTACCACCTCTTGAAGGCGTTGCTTTGAAATCACACAAATCCGTTTGAATTAAATCTAGTGCTTGAGTGGTTCGTTCAATTGTTTGAAACGAACTTCATTGTTGACTTTGCTTCGACACACGTCTCACATTTGTGCGACATGTCGATATCAAACTTAGGGATATATTCCATGTTAATTAATTTCCGAAGAGACGCATAATTAACATGTCCTAGTCTTCCATGCCACACATTAATAGACTCACAAACATAGGCAACAGGAGTTTTATTAATTTTCTCAACAACAGTGAGTACATTAAGTTTAAAAGCCCATCTGAAACATAACCTTTGCCTATGAATATTCCCTCTTGGCTCAAGATCAGCTTATCAGACTTGAACACCATGCGGAATCCATGTTTGTTCAGTAGTGAGCCTAACACCAAGTTTTTCTGTATGTCTGGCACATACAACACATCATTCAGGGTGAGCTCCTTGCCGGATGTCATCTTGAGCTTCACTTTGCCCACATCTTGAACCTCAGATTGGTGAGAGTTGCCCATCCACACCTTGTCGCTAGAAGTTGAAATTCCAGCACTCACAAGCAAATAACCACAACAGCAAACAAACAATGGCAAAAACAGTTATTGAAGGAAGTGTTGCAGCTTTAGAATACGCAGGATGCTACAACACCTTCTTCAACAGTCGCACACACAAACAAAATAATAAATACACCAAGACAGAAAGATTTGTTTACGCAGTTCGGAGCAGTATCTCCTACGTCTGCGAGGCCCACATCCGTGTAATAGCCTTTCCACTAGATCAACGTAAGAATTACACTATCAAACTTCAATAGAACCTTCTAATGAATCTGATTTGTCTACTTACGAGATCTAACAGCAAACTCGGTTTGTGTCTTCAGCAGGCCTATTACACCTTCTTCTTGCTCTGCACGAAGGATGTGTTTCTGACCCTTGCTCAGCCAACCAGGTAGCAACAGCTGAACAATATCTAGAGAAGATCCAAGACTGATCTTCTCATGCAAATCTCTCACAGTTTTGTTCTTATCAGAATCGTTGTGATCTCACGCTCTCTCCTTGATGTTTTGAGTATAATTCTGCGTACAGTTTTTCCTCCACGGCTGTCTCTCTTTATAGGATGTCCATAACCCTAGTGGAGATAGAATGGAACTCTTCAGATGATAAGCTTGAACACCAGGCACTCCTAGTGCGTCATGACTTCATCCGTAGATTTGCACTACCTATTTCGCACGTGTTCAAGAAATAGCCAACTTGAAGTAGTTCCTCTTGATGCTGGACACCTTACGAACCCTTCTTGACATATAAAACTCGATATACTCAGAGTCCATATCATATAGAACTCTATTACATGACTGACAGGATGCTACAGCCCTTATCATAACACAGACACACTACCAGTTCTACAGAAAGGTTTTGTCAAAAAATAATGCCAACATAAACTATATACCAACATTAACTAGTTGGAGCTAACAATCTCCCCCTTTGGCAATTTTTTGACAAAAACCTCTATTTAGCCGTTTTTGAACCTCTTCTCCTCCTTTTTTGCATAAAAAATGCCAAAGATATTTTATTTGAAAATCACCAAACTTGGGGGCAAAAAGAGAAGAGTAATATTCAATACGGTCAAGAATAGGTACAGTAAGAGTATAGGAAAGAAAACTCTAAAGAGCTGTACCTACATCAGTCATCCCAGAAAGAGCCAAGTACCCATGAGAGAGGGTAGGCTCGTGTGCTGTCGTTGCTTCATAATGCATGCAGATAAAAAAAGAACCAAAATAAGTCATAACCAGAGCTTCATAGAGAACATAGAGAATAAAACCATCTCTCCACAGGTCACAGATAAGTTGAACAAAAACCAGGCAATGTCGTCAGCATCATAAAAAAACAGGGAGAACAACCCTTCCAAAAAAATGTCTTAGAGCAACATTTTATCAGTAAGACAATGTTTACTCCTCTGAACTGGCACCATCTGATGATTTCTGTGAGGCTCCTGCTGATTCTGATAATGAAGTCTCCTTTGCACTATCTTCTTGTACATCTTCTTCTGTGTCTGAATGTGAAGCAACTGCCTTTTGTTTAGCTAGTTTCTCCCCCTTACTCTGTGCATGCCTTGTTTGCCTCAGGGTGTGTGCAATCTGAATGAGCACATTCATCCTTTCAGTTGATCTTTGAGCAATTTCATGATGATAATCTGCATCCATTTGGTGGGATTTGATCTCCTTTTCAAGAAAGCTGAGCTGGTGATCTACTGAGGCTGGATTTGATGTCGTTGCTGAGGAAGCTCCAGCAGCAGCCATGTCATTGAAATGGCTTCCTTCAAAGTGTCTTGCATCAACTTGCAGCAAGGGAGGAATGGTCTCTTCGTCTTCATTTTCTTCTTTTTCCAATCCCTGGTCCTTCAGTATGTTGTAGATCAATAGAGGGTATGGAAGACCATTCTTGTTCTTCTTGAATTTTTCCGCTACAAACGCCATCACCTGATCAAATACAACCCTACCAAGATCAAAAGGAACATTGTTTTTGATTCTATAGATTAGGGTGGCTATGCACAATGGAACAGTGTTGGTGTGAGTAGTTGGCATCGAGTGATATGCAGCAATTTGTAGAAGGATAAGATGTGATAGGTACATTATTGAGGAAAAAGTATGATGTGATAAGTATGGTAAAAAAAAGTAAGGGTAAATTTGGTTTTCTAATAGAAAGTGGAAGTATTTTAGAAAAAGTGAAAAAAATGAAAGAAGAAACGTCTTAAAAAATGGACGTAGTATCTACCATTCTCATATCGTCGTGTTCATCCTACGAGCGAAAGACAGATACGAACTCAACAATGGATATCCAAGGGGTGTCTGGCAACAACTTAGAGATATTATCCATTTTCCAACAACGCAACACAAAATTTAGGCCTGTTCAACAATGCTAGGGGTACACCAAAGGTATACCCCATTTATCCCCCACCCTTTTCTCCACCACTTATTTTTATCCCATTTTTATTTAATTAATTTTTTTTAGTTTCTTGCCCATTTTTGTGGTAATGGAGGGGGGTGGGGGACAAATGGGGTACACCTTTTGTGTACACCTAGCATTTTTCATTTAATAATTTAGGCCCTAAAGTTTTTGAGTTAAAACAAAAAATGTGATAAAATACGGAAATATTGTATTGGAACTGAGAAGTCCGGATCAGGAGAAGTCCGGATCCGGAGAAGTCCAACTTCCGAGAAATCCAAATTCCGAGAGATCCGGATTCCGAGAAATCCGAACTCGAGAAGTCCAAATCCTATGATGACCGAATCCCATTCTAATTGGGATTGATCTTAATTTATTTGTTTCCTAGTTTGATTATTGATTTGTTTCCTTGTAGGATTTGTATTTCTTGTCTATTTTGGAATCATCATCTCCTATAAATAAAGGAAAAACCCCTTGTAATTACACGGAACAATTGAATATACAAAACTATTTTCTCTCTTATTAATTTCTACATGGTATCAAAGCCAGGTTCCTAAAAAAACCCTAATTTAGACAAACGACGATCCATCACTGTCCGCCGCCGGAGCAAGCCTGTCTTCCGCCGGACCATCTTCCTCAACCGTCGACATGGCACATGCAGAGGAAAATCTCATCGAAAAGATCTTCGATGAGGAGGAGAAGATCCCTACGAAGGGAAGTTCTTACGAACTCAAGAACGCAGATACACCCAGATTAATTATCACCCAAGTCAAACTAAACGGTGATAATTATGAAGAATGGGCCCGTGCAATGAGAATTGCATTCCGTGCAAAACGGAAAATTGGATTCATTGACGGATCCATCCCTTGTCCAGAAGAGGGAGATGAAAATTATTAAGAATGGTGGATTGTAAATTCCATGTTGGTCTCATGGATTTACAATACCATTGACAGTAGTCTGAGAAACTCTATCACACAAGTGGAGGTAGCAGCAGAACTATGGAGAGACATCCAAGATCGTTCCTCTGTTGCGAATGGGCCTCAGATTCATCAACTGAAGAAAGAACTTGCAAACTGCAAGCAAAACGGTCAGTCCATTGTCACGTACTTTGGAAAATTAAAAACAATTTGGGACGAACTTGGTGATCATGAAAAGATTCCCACTTGCAAATGCCAAGGATGCAAGTGTGGGATAAAGAAAGCTCTTGCCATTCAAAGGGAGAAAGAGAAGGTGCACCAGTTTCTGATAGGATTGGATAACATAGGATATGGGAGTCTACGATCCAACATCATCGCCACGGAGCCCTTTCCACCACTAAACCGTGTTTACTCGGTCATTATCCAGCAAGAAGGGGTCTTGAAGACTACCCAAGAAGAGGAACGTAACCCAGTTGGCTTTGCTATCACTTCTAAATTTGATCGTGACATGACTAAAGATTTAAAATGGAAACATTGTGGGTTGAGCGGGCACGAGAAGAGTGGTTGCTTTCAACTTGTTGGATATCCTGAATGGTGGGGAGATCGCCCACGCATTTTGAACCCAGGACGAGGCAATGGCCGAGGCAACGGCACAGGAGGACGCCGCGGCGGCAGGGGGGCAACGCCGGCCGAGGTAACCGAGGCGGGGCTGGTGGCGGTCTTGCTAGCGGTCCAACAGGGGACCGGCGGCCCACACGGCTCAGGCCAACCCGACAGATGGAGGGCGTGCAAATCTCCCTCCTCTCACAACCAATCAATGGAATGCACTTGTGGGACTTTTAGATGAGAAGGATTCGGGTATGGAAAATAAATTTTCAGGTATGACTAATACTTCTTGGATCATTGATAGTGGAGCCAGCCAACATATGACCAGCGATGAGAAGTGTTCTGTTGGTCTACCAAGTGGAGATTGTGTGGTGTCCAACAAAAAGGGGAGTGTGATCTTGAATAATTTAATAACCTTAGAAAATGTATTGCTAGTTCCTCAACTTAACTGTAATCTTATATCTGTCTCACAACTTCTTGAGAAAAAGAATTTAATTGTCAAGTTTAATAATAAAATTTGTATCATACAGGACTATATCTCGAAGATGGTGATTGGAGTGGGTGAGCAGGCTGAAGGACTGTATTATCTCAAGAAAGGTGTGAAGGACAATGTTTGCACAGTGAAGGAGGCAAAGGATCTGGACATTTGGCACAAGCGTTTGGGTCATCCCTCTTACACCATTGTCAACACTTTTTTTCAATTATCCAAAAGTACCAATATTCCTAATTCACCTTGTGATGTGTGTTTTCGTTCAAAACAATGTTGTGACTCTTTTCCAATTAGTTCCAATAAAACTCTTACTCCTTTTTCCTTGATTCATTCTGACTTGTGGGGTGGGTATCGTACTCCGTCTTGCACTGGGGCGAGATATTTTTTGACTATTGTTGACGATTTCTCTCGGGCAACATGGGTATATCTCTTAAATCACAAATATGAAGCTCCCACTGTCTTGCGTAACTTCTTTCCCATGATTGAACGTCAATTTAATAAACAAGTAAAAATTGTACGAAGTGACAATGATACAGAGTTCACTTGTTTAAAATTTTTTTAGCAATCATGGGATTCTTTTTTAATCCTCTTGTGTTGGTACCCCACAACAAAATGGTCGAGTTGAACGAAAACACCGTCACATTCTCAAGATTGCCAGAGCACTCTGTTTCCAAGCAAATCTTCCACTTAAACTCTAGGGTGATTGCATCCTCACCGCTGCCTATCTCATTAACCGAACACCCCCTGAGCTACATAAAGGCAAAACCCCATATTCCATGATCTTTGAGAAAAACCCCTCATACAATCATATCCGTGTTTTCGGATGCCTCGCCTATGCCCACAATCAATCTCACCATGGAGACAAATTTGAGTCTCGTTCTCGTCGATGCGTTTTCCTTTGCTACCCATTCGGCCAACAGGGGTGGCGGCTTCTCGATTTGGACAACAATAAAATATTTGTCAGTCGAGATGTCAAATTCTCTGAAAATAATTTTCCCTTTCACCCGCAAAATACCCCTAATCTCACAGAAACTAAACCCACTGCTGAGTTTTTTGAGGAGGAAATACCCAGTGAAGAAACTTCCAACAACGGTCGACCGTCACCCTCTGAACCTAACACTACCACTCAGACGATCGATTCGATAGACCGTTCTCAGGACCACGGTCAACCGTACCCAGATATTTCCACATCAGCACCACCAAACAGCCAACCCACTGAAACAATTCGGCTCTCCCCTGATCTTGATAACCAAACCCTTCCGACCTAAGACACTTTGCGCCGAAGTGAAAGAGAACGTCGTCCTTCTTCGCGACTGCGTGACTTCGTCACTCACACCATTCAACGTTCCTCTCCTAATTCACCCACACCGACGCTGCCTTCAGATACAGCGCACTGTATTACAAATTTTATTAACGCTGACAAATTTTCTATTTCCCATAGATGTTTTCTGGCAGCTATAAGTAAAGATGTTGAGCCTACATTCTTTTCTGAGGCGGTTAAAAATCCACTCTAGGTACGAGCTATGAAGAAAGAAATTCAGGCATTGGAAGCTAATGGTACCTAGTCGCTTGTCCCTTTGCCTCGTGGAAGGAAAACGATTGGATCAAAGTGGGTTTATAAAATCAAGCGCAAGTCTGATCGAAGCATTGAACGATACAAAGCTCGGTTGGTGGTGCTTGGCAATCGTCAGAAAGAAGGAATTGACTTTAAAGAGACTTTTGCACCGACGGCCAAATTAGTTACCATTCGCACTCTCTTAGCTGTTGCCGCTGCCCGAAACTAGTTCATGCATCAGATGGACGTTCATAATGCCTTTTTGCATGGAGATCTTCGTGATGAAATATACATGACTCTTCCTCCAGGGTTTGCCTCTCGCGGTAAAGGATTGGTTTGCCGTCTTCATAAATCTCTCTATGGTCTTTGTCAAGCTCCACGTTGTTGGTTTGCTAAACTCACCTCTGCATTGAACCATTTTGGGTTTCACCAATCCAAGGCTGATTATTCTTTGTTTACTCTTCGGCGTGGGTCCATTGAACTTCGTGTGTTGGTGTATGTGGATGATCTCATTATTGCAGGAAATGATGAAGGTTTCATTGAAAAATTTAAAAAGTATCTCTCTGATTGCTTCCATATGAAAGATCTCGGCCTTTTAAAATATTTTTTGGGCGTTGAGGTTGCCCGGAATTCAAAAGGAATCTTCATATGCCAGAGAAAATATGCTCTTGTTATTCTTTGTGAGACTGGGTTTCTAGGTGCTCGTCCGGCTTCAACCCCTCTTCCTCAAAATCATCATCTGGCTCTGGAAAGTGGCCCGCTTCTTCCTAATCCAGAGCGTTATTGCCGGCTTATTGGGTGCCTTATTTATCTCACGATTAGTCGTCCTGATTTGGCTTATGCTGTTCATGTGTTATCTCAATTTATGAGGAACCCGCGACAGGATCATTGGGATGGCGCGACGCACGTTCTGCGCTATATCAAGGGTAGTCCCGGGCAAGGCTTATTCCTTCCAGCACAAAGTGATCTCACTCTTACGGCTTTCTGTGACTCTGATTAGGCTGGCTGTCCTTTGACTCATTGTTCAGTTACTGGTTATTTTATTACTCTCGGCCATTCCCTGGTGTCCTGGCATACAAAGAAACAAAATGTGGTCTCCCGCTCCTCTGCTGAGGCTGAATACCGGGCCATGGCAACCACTGTTTGTGAACTAAAATGGCTGAAGTCCCTTCTATTGTCCTTGGGCGTGAATCACAAACAACCTATGCGGTTGTTCTGCGACAATCATGCTGCTCTTCATATCGCAACTAACCCCATTTTTCATGAACGTACCAAACACATTGAGATTGACTGTCACTTTGTGCGTGATGAAATTCAGAAAGGTGTTCTGTGTACCCGGCATGTTTCCACCACCGATCAACCGGCTGACCTGTTTACAAAGGCTTTGGCTTCCACTCCTTTCTCACATTTGCTGTCCAAGATGGGCACGCAAAATTCGCACACTCTAGCTTGAGGGGGGGGGGGGGTATTGAAACTGAGAAGTCCGGATCCGGAGAAGTCCATGTCCAAATCCTATGATGACCGAATCCCATTCTAATTGGGATTGATCTTGATTTATTTGTTTCCTAGTTTGATTATTGATTTGTTTCCTTGTAGGATTTGTATTCCTTGTCTATTTTAGAATCATCCTCTCCTATAAATAAAGGAGAAACCTCTTGTAATTACACAGAACAATTGAATATAACTATTTTCTCTCTTATTAATTTCTACATATTGACATTTGATTAGAAATAATATACTCCTTCCGTTCATAAATATTTTTGCATTGCACATTACAGTATTTGAATGAAGTTATTTTTCAATTCGAATAATTTTAATGAAAAATAGAGTGAGATTTTAAAATAAAAATTACATATTTAAAAATATGACATCAAAAGATCTATAAAATAAGAGGTGACATAACTATATTAATTTATCAAATGAGTAAAGAAAATAAGCTAATAAAGTAAATATAATTTGACCATGTGAATAGTGAATGAAAAAATAATTTTTTAATGGGGAGAGAAATAATCATCATTTTTTGTTAGATGAGCGATAAAATCTAAGAATAGTACATTATACAAGCGCGCAATGCAAATTAAATAATAGTTATTGAATTCTACAACCTCTTTGTTGAATAACGCTGAAAAAATAAAAAAAAAATAAAACAAAAATTAAGTGATAAGTTAACTTGCAAGTTTAGAATAGAAGGAAAAAAATAATAAATAATTCATTTACAATGAGAAAATGAATTTCTAAATCAGATTGTTAAGAGTGAAGTACAATAAGTTTTTAAAATTGAAATAAGAAATGAAACAAAACAGATCAATTGCTAAGAACATCCGAATATGCAAATTAAAAAACAGAACAACAGAACATGAGTTCTTAAAAAACTAAAAATAAAAACAACGGAATTAGAGATGCAGGCATGTAACCTACATAAGATAAAATGAGACATTATTAACACCGGTCTAGAAATCAATTGAAGAATGAAGAAATCATACAATAAACCAATGAAGTACTACAGACACTTTAATTGAAGAAGGCCTTTAGAAGATGAAAAATGAGATAAACTAATGTGCTTACGGTATAAATATGGGCTCTCTAATTTTCGAGGCCCTGTGCAATAGCACCTCTTGCACATCCCATTGGGCGGGCCGGACAAAATTCATTCTTCTTCCCAAAAACCTAGCTTCCATCGGCCAAGAATAACAGGTAATAGAACTGGGGAGAAGAGAAATGTTGATAAATTAGTGTCATCGAAGCTATTTTGTGTAATTAGGTTTACTTATATTAAACAAGAATTTGAATAGTTGTCAAAGTGGCGGCAAACCTTGATGAGGGGAAGGAGTCCCTGGTAACGGGGTCCAAGAGGCGGCAACCCCAGGTAACGGGGTCCAAAGGGTGGCAGTCCTTGGTGAGGTCAAAGGGTAGAGCCCCTAGTCGGGGTCACCGGACAGGTTGGAATTATTTTATTTTGGACATTATTACTCTATGAAAATCCTTTATATGTTCATGAAAGAAGTCCAAAACACTTAAAACTCGAACGTGTGGGCATGTCCAAAAAAAAATACCCAAACAACAAGAAACCCTTTATAAAAATGCATATTTTCGCGTGAAGGAACATGATTGGTCACGTATTTTTGTTTCTATAAATATAGGAACGCTAGTTTAGTTGAGACAGAATATTTCGAAGTGCTTATTTTTTATTAAATGTATTAACATATTAAAGTATTTTGGTATACCTTGAACCAACTTTAATCTGAAAGCATTATATGCGATTTGTTCATCAAAGTCTTCAACGCTGCTTCGCTACGTTCTTCCTCCACATAGAATTCATAGAGGAGCCATGTGAAGTAGGGAGCGGTGTCTAGTGTAGATACCAGGGGCATCACTAATCAGTTGCATTGTACATGGACTATTTTACTTTCCAATCAAAATGATGCCTTTAATTCTTTTATTAAGTTGTGCAAGAAAATCCAAAATGAGGAAGGATATTCCATCACATCCCTCGAGAGTGATAAAGCATGAAAATATATAAACTTCGAGTTTGAAGCATATTGTGATGATCATGACATTTCACACAACTTCTCAGCTCCAAGACTCCTCATAAAAAAATATAGGTGAAAGGAAGAATGAAACCTTGTAAGAAAGCCAAAGACCATGTTACATATGCACAAACTTCCAAACCACTATATGAAAGCTACCTCGCTGATTCGTTTTTCCCACGCCTTTTGGTAACGACCCCTCATCTTACGTTACCGGGAACCGACAGTTCCAAAACTTGAATTTTATCAACCGGTATCGTGTCCACGCCTAGTAGGGGGTGATGTCTATCTAGATACTAGGGATGTCGCGAATGGGTTGTACATGGGCTATTATATTTTGCTTGCCAATCGAGACGATGCGTTTAATGTTTTTGTTAAGTTGCGCAAGAAAATTCAAAATGAAAATGAATATTCCATCACCTCCCTCAAGAGTGATAAAGCAGAAAAATATATAAACTCCAAGTTTGAAGCATATTGTGATGATCATGACATTTTACACAACTTCTCAACCCTAAGACTCCTCAACAAAAAATGGTACTAGAAAGAAAGAATATAACCTTAGCTTGTAAGAAATGTCAAGGATTATGTTAAATATGCACAAACTTTATATCCGCTAAACGAAAGCTACGCCCGCTGCTTCGTTTTTCCCGCTCCTTTTGGTTGGAGTTCTTCTCCCCAAGAAAAACTAGCCACTTGTTGTTCTTATTCTAGACGAGGAAGAAATCTGGCTGAATTGAAGATTTCTTATTTGTTGTGTAACACCCGCCTTCCGTGGACCCAGTTCACCCACGACCCAACGGACCGGTAGAGTTACATGGGCGGCCCGAGCACCGTACGTAACGTAAAACATTAATATGAGTTAATTGTGAAAGCGGTTGGGTTTTAATTAATGTAATAAATACTAGGGAGTTACTCCCAAAACAGTGTAATAAAATTGTGAGGTAAATGCAGAAGTAAATAAATAAGTCCAGTCCAAACTAAGTAAACGACAAGGGTGGGTTCATGGCCAAATGATTAATTGAATAAAAGGAAATAATTATGAACTCGTCCGCGCGCCGCCCATCTCCCCATCGTCACTGCTCTCCAGGGTTGGCACATGCACCGTCATGTCTACCTGCGTGTAGCAGAAACAACTACACGCTCAGCAAAAGCTGAGGAGTGAATCTAACAAAAGAACATTAAGTGATAACACATATGGCTTTACACATATTAATACCTGTACTTAACGTACGGACAACCACGTGTTTACTAACGGTTAAGTTTTCACCTGTTGGGGTGCTAATACATATAACAAGATGATTGGTAACATACATGATGATTATATGACTTGATGCATGACTTAAACTATCAGAGACACCCCTGGCTTAGTCTCACTCGACAGGATCACCCCTGCACTCCGGTTATCATACCCGAACGGTAACGAGCCGGGCACGACGAAGATGTCGCGAGTGGACTAGCAAAACCGGGTAGTAGCCGTAACCTGACTACTATGTACGTACACAAGGCCCACATGATGAAAACCCGTTGGATCCTAAAGGTTTCAGGACGGGCCCACTGTAGTAGGCGCACGAAAGCCTCACCTCACTACAGTGGTATTCACATGATGAAAAACCTAGGACATGCGTCTAGAATGAACATGATGAATGTTTGATATATTTACCTTTGGTCAATGCCAAGAATATATCAATTAATCAACATAAATAATGGAGATTGACATTTCATGCAGCAAACGATTAGATCCTAGGTCAACATGGTAACCGGGGCTCGTTCTACAAATTGCCCAGAAACCTGCCCGCAGAACGGTCGACCGTAACCTACCGGCGGTCGACCGTGGGCTACACTATGGAGGTCTGGATGGCCGACGGTCCACCGTGGTCTTCCGTCGCGGCCGGCGGTCAACCGTCATAGTGGTGACCGTCGGATTGGCCATGGGAACGGTCCACCGTCCGTTGCGGCGGTCGACCGTCCCAGAGATAGGCCGCTGTCCCTTGCTCCGTTTTGGTCCGTTTTGCTAGTTTAAGTTTAACACTTAGATTCTTTTTAGAACAATAATACTACATTGATGAATACATTCCTAGAGATTCCTAGGCCAATATTTGTAGGTTTTGCATAATAAACGTTTTGGTGGCTAACCTACGAACATGCATAGATTCTACGTAGGTTGCGTACGATATTTCTATGAATATAACGACATAGATTATAACTACATGTTCTAGAATTAGAGGGGACAACTACTCACCTCTAAATGTAGGGGTTGACGGAATTGATGGAACGAGATGAACAAACAACGCCCAACGAACGGACGAACAATGGACGACGAACAGCATACGCTTCTCACGTGAACTTCTCCTCTGCCACCTCCCGTCTTCTCGCCGGAGAAACTCCCGGAGCTGCTGCTAGGTAGCCGAAAATGCAAGGGGAAGAGGGAGAGGGTGTATGTGAATGCCATTGGAGTTATAAAATGCTAAGGGAAAAGGGATTGGAATGGGTTTAAATTGAAAGAGGAGAGTAATGGGGATTAAAGGGAGATTAAATGTGTGTGTGGGTGATGATGGGAGGTGTGGGTGGCGTGGAGAATGAAGGGATTAAATGGGGAATTATTATTCCCCTTAATTCACTCCGTTAAGTAAAATTCTCACCAGACCGGTACGCGCTTTTCCCCCCGAACGGGTCTAAATTGAGATCCGTTTGCGTTTCTAGAATCAGACAGTCAAGACGAATTTAATGATATGATCAAATAATTTTTCTAAGAACTTTTAATTTCCCCAACTCCGATCTAGAATAGTAATTAATTAATTAAATTAATCAATTCTATTAGACCAGGTTGCGGGGGGTCACAATTATCCACCCCTTAAGAAAATTTCGTCCTCGAAATTTACCTGATCACTAGTCACTGAAAAGATGTGGATAACGAGTGCGCATGGATTTCTCGGTTTCCCATGTTGCCTCCTCGACAGTGTGACTTCTCCACAAAACCTTGACCAGCGGAATGGTCTTGTTCCTCAACTAGCGGATCTCTCGAGCCAGAATCTCAACCGGCTCCTCCTCGTACGTAAAATTCTCATTGAGTGTGATCGTATCGGCTGGAATCACATGAGAAGGGTCCGACCGGTACCTCCGGAGCATGGACACGTGGAATACATCGTGGATCTTGCTCAACTCCGATGGTAACTCGAGCCTGTAAGCTACAGGTCCCACCCGTTCAGTGACTGGGTACGAGCCTATAAACCTCGGACTCAATTTTCCCTTCTTGCCGAAACGTAAGACACTCTTCCAAGGTGACACCTTCAAGAAAACCTTATCCCCAACTGCATACTCCATGTCACGCCTCTTAAGGTCGGCGTAGGACTTCTGTCGGTCCGAAGCCGCCTTAAGTCTGTCCTTAATCACCTCGACCTTCTCCTCGGTCCCACGAACTAAATCTGGTCCTTCCAACCTCCTCTCGCTGATCTCTGTCCAGCAGGTAGGAGTACGACAGGGTCTACGATACAGAGCCTCGTACGGTGCCATACCAATGCTAGCCTGGTGACTGTTGTTGTATGCAAACTCCATGAGTGGCAGGTATCGCTCCCAACCATCCACGAAGTTGATTGCACACACACGCATCATATCCTCGAGAATCTAAATCACCATCCCCGACTGCCCGTCTGTCTCAGGGTGGAACGCCGTACTGAAGTGGAGATCGGAGCCCAATGCCCTTTGCAGGCTCTTCCAAAACTGTGATGTGAATCGTGGGTCACGATCCGAAATGATAGATGATGGAACTCCATGTAGCCTGATGATCTCGCGGATGTACAACTCCGCTAACCGCTGAAGTGAGAAGTCACGACGAATGGGGAAAAAATGGGCTGATTTGGTCAACCGGTCAACGATGACCCAAACTGTGTCATGTTTACGTGGTGACAATGGCAGTCCCATAATGAAATCTATCGTGATGCGGTCCCACTTCCACTCGGGGATGGTGATTTACTAAAGCAATCCTGAAGGAACCTGGTGCTCGGCCTTGACCTGCTGACAAGTCAAGCACTGTGATGTAAACTCCGTGATCTCCCGCTTCATCGCGGGCCACCAGTAATGTCTCCTAAGACCCTGAAACATCTTGTTACTGCCCGGGTGCATGGTATACACAGTGTTGTGTGCTTCGCGAAGCAGGCGTTCTCTTACCTCCCCTGCTGGCACAACCATACGCTCCCGATAGTACAAGATACCCTCCCGAACTGCGAAATCTAACTTCTCTCCTCGAGAGACGAGCTCAACGATCTGGATACAGAAATCATCGCTGCTCTGGGCTGATGCTATTTGCTGCTGTAATGTAGGCTGGACGTGTAACACAGCTAGAGTTTTACGACTAAAGGCATCGGCTACCACATTCGCCTTACCTGGGTGGTAAGCGATGTGACAGTTGTAGTCCTTAATCAACTCTAATCATCTCCTCTGTCGGAGATTCAGATCCTTCTGCGCCAACAAGTACTGAAGACTCTTATGGTCGGTGAAGATCCGCGTCGTCTCACCGTAGAGGTAATGCCTCCAGATTTTCAAAGCAAGTACAATAGCTGCCAGCTCAAGGTCTTGTGTCGGATAATTACACTCGTGCGGCTTCATATGCCGAGATGCATACGCAACGACCTTGCCCTCCTGCATGAGAACACACCCCAAGTCGTTATGGGACGCGTCGCTGAGAACCGTATACTCCACTCATGGAGTGGGCTGGACTAGGACTGGTGCCTGGGTCAGACACTTCTTCAGCTGCTCGAAACTCTACTGATAGGCGTCAGTCCAAACGAACTTGACGTCCTTCCTCATCAGCTTGTGCAATGGTGACGCTATCTTGGAGAAGTCCTTCACGAACCGGCGATAGTAACCCGCCAATCCAAGAAAGCTCCTCACCTCTCGTGCATTACGCGGAGTCTTCCACTCCGTGATCGCTGCTATCTTGCACGGGTCTACCTTTACACCTTCGGCCGAGATGACGTGGCCGAGGAAGGTAACCTCGTGCAGCCAGAACATGCACTTGGACAGCTTGGCATAAAGCTGCTGTTCCCGAAGAATTCTCAAGACAATGCGTAAGTGCTCGGCATGCTCCTCCTGTGTCTTGGAGTACACCAAGATGTCATCGATGAAGACCACCACAAACTGATCAAGATGCTTCCGGAACACACTGTTCATCAGATCCATGAACACTGCTGCTGCGTTAGTCAACCCAAAAGGCATGACTGTGAACTCGTAATGACCGTATCTAGTGCGGAAAGCCGTCTTAGGCATATCTTCCTTCTTAACGGGAATCTGATGGTATCCTGATCGGAGATCGATCTTAGAGAAAACCGTAGCTCCTCTAAGCTGGTCAAACAAATCGTCAATGTGTGGTAACGGATAGTGATTCTTGATGGTGACTTTGTTCAGTTGACGGTAATCGATGCACAACCGCATCGATCCGTCCTTTTTGCGAATGAACAGAACCGGTTCTCCCCAAGGGGACACACTAGGACGAATGGAGCCCTTATCCAGCAACTTCTGCAGTTGAGCCTTCACCTCCTTCATCTCCGCAGGCGCCATGCGATAGGGAGTGATCAAGGCCGGTCCTGTTATTGGAACTAGATCAATGGAAAACTCTACCTCCCTAGGGGGTGGTAGGCTGGGTAAATCATCTGGAAAAACATCGGGAAAGTCACATACCGTAGGGATGTCTCCCCTACTAGGTGCCTCCCGGCGAGTGTCACGCATTGTACACAAGAATGCTTCGCACTTCTTGCGAATGAGTCGGCGGGCATGGATGTTTGAAATAAATTCTAGAGCTTTCGGAAGAAGCTCACCACGGATCCAAACATCACTACCGCCTTCGGCTCTCAGCCGAAGAGTATGCGCTCCACAGTCAACAACGGCTTGGTTGGCAGTGAGCCAATCTATGCCTAGAATAACGTCGAACTCACGATGTGGAAGCTCAATGAGACTTGCAGGAAAAGTTTTCCCCTGGACCACTAATGGGCAGTCGTGATACACGTGGGTGAGTCGCAGACTGTGTCCCAATGGGTTAGACACAATTACCGGGTTATCCAAGTCTTCCCTCGGAATATTAGGCATAACAGGCATAGGCATACAAACATATGACAAAGTGGAACCCGGATCAATCAATGCTGTAATGGATGTATCGAATAAGGTGAACATACCCATGATAACGTTATGAGCTGGCTACTCAGTACGTCCTCGCATCGCGTAAGTGTAGGCCGGGGCCTTCCCCGCCTGGGCGCCAGATGCTTGCTGCTTGGGCTGACTAGATGCTGCCGCAGATTTCTGGCTCTGGGCGGGCTGCGCTAGTGGAGCGGAGGCAGCTGGTGCAGATGAGAATGCCTCACCCGGATTGTTCAGACAATCTCTACAGAAATGCCCGGCCTGGCCACACCCAAGGCATAGGCCCTGAGTGAACCAACACTCTCCTGAGTGCCTGCGCCCACAATGGTCACAAATCGGGTTGCGAAACCCATCTCTGTTCTTGCCCTTCTTCTGAACGGACGCAGATGACAGGGCTGGGGCTGACATCACCTTCTTGCTCTGGTGAGGTTGCTAGGTGCCGCGAAGGACCTCTTGCCACGGGTCCCCGCCTTCTGGGGTGGAGGAGGACGAGATGGTGCTGCTGACGCCCCCTGCGTCTACTCAAACTCTGCCTTCTTGACGAGGGCCACATTCAAGTCCAACGCATTCTTGTACAACGCGTTGATGTCACTCCGAGGAGGTATGATCAGATGAGCTGAAAGGTCGGGATGTAAGCCCTCTACGAAGCGTTTGCACCGCTTCTCCACGGTCGGTACAATGTCCTGCCCAAACCCCGCGAGTTCGTCAAACTTCTGACGATACTCGGGTAAAGTGAGTTCACCCTGGGTGAACTTAAGAAACTCTTCTCGCTTCGCCTCGACGAACGTACGGACACCTTTATCAACTTCAAGCTTCCAACGTCGGGTCTTCTCTACAATACTCTCTGGGAGTTCCTAATAATCGTTAGAGAATCGACGATAAGAGTTTTGAACGGAATGGAAAGAATATTGAAAAGAAAGTAGTCAGACCCGAGAGGCCCGTCGCCACCGACGCAGTCTCGGTATTTTGACCATATCTCCTTCGTTTCTCAACGAAATCGCAAACCGTTTGATGCGTTGGATTCGCGAGACACGAGGCTACAACTTTTGTTCAAAAATCAGACTGAAATAATGACGTTAAGATATATGAAAATCGCTCACAAGATGACGGTTTGCTGCTGCTAGGATTTTGAAGAAACTTATGATGATTTCTTCTTCTTGTTTCACCAATGGAGTTGAAGTTCTTCCTCTTTTCTTTGCTTGAATGAATCTTCCAACAAGAGAGAATGATTGGAAAAGAAAATATGAGTTTTATGGTAAGCACTTTGAATGAAAGATATGGATATGATGAAGAAAACATAGCCAACCCGTGGAACTCGTCACCACCGACGCAGTCCCGGTATTTTGGCGATATCTCCTTCGTTACTTAACGGAATCACGAACCGTTTGTTGGGTTGGATTCGTAACATCCGGGGCTACGATTTTGGTATAATAAA